ACATCTATCAATAGCTGACATAGTAAGGTCATATACCGTGATAGCTTGTCGTGAGATTCATGATGTCCAATGAAATTGAGACCACCTTGAGTGCAAGACAAGATAGGAAGAGACGTGACGAAAGGCTCCTTTGTATATAACTGGTGTTGACACTAGCTATCCATTATGTCGCCGAGATACTAGCCATCTATAGTGTCTCGGCGACAACAACGACGACATCACTAGAGTGAAGGTACAGCACATGTTTATATATAACGGAACAAGGAGCTTGTTACCCCGAGATCCACGATCTCTTTACAGTACGACCCCTTCTTGATTAGCATTCAGGTATTAAGCTCCTGCAACGTCAGGACCAGGTAAACATTCAGCAAGTCTTACAACATATTCCAAGGTTTCCATGGAGTTACACGCCCTCGGAATGTCACCAATTTGCTTCAACAGCAAAAGACATCATCTCATAAGGCAGAGCAGAGGGAATCAGGTCGTACAATAGCCGTAAGATAGCTTTACTAGCCCACAGAGAGCGCTCTGGCGTTAAATCCATTGGCGCAGAGAACACCATTCTTAGATGCCGCACATCCGCCGGCGTAGTGCTATCGCTTGTGATGGGTTCTGGCGCCGTCTTGATGGAAGAGAGATTGGCAGGAATCTTGAACAGCCTCCGGATACCAGTCTCCACCGCAACGACATACAACTCTTTGCCATCGTCACTCCAAGCTACACTGTAGGGTGACAAGTGCCAGTCTTTCTCACTCTGCTGCGTGGGCATATTGTCAATGGCCGTATGAGCTCGAAAGTCACGGATGTTGTCAACCACGATCACTCGTTTCCTGTCATTGGAGTCTGCAAGCTCGCGCCTTTTCAGAAACGCTACAGAGTTACCGCTTGGAGAGAATACCGGGTTGGAGCTCCGCCCTCCGAAGCCTTTTATGTTGATGATCTGAGGTCTTGGCCTTGACATTTCAGTAAAGGTCTTGAGAGGAATGTAGTAGACATTGAGACTGGCAGGCTGGGTTGTACAGCTCGGTCCATCTTTTGCAAGAAAGACAATACCACTTGTGGAAATATCGAAGTCGGTCGAATGTCCAAACGGAGAGCGAAGAGGTGATTCCAAACCTGTGCCTCTCAGAGCAGTGACGAACCTCGTTGGAGAGGTTATGTATTTCAGCTCTGCTGTGCTGCTGCTCATCGCCTTCTTTCGAAGCGTGGTTTACCATATCGCATTTTGTATCTCGCTGGTCGATCCTTCTGTGTCATGGTTGTAAAGACTGCCGTTCGATGTGGCGGAGCAAGCCACAGCTATTGCTATGTCGTCGTACTGGCCGTGAAGCCTGTGCAGCTTGAGATGGGACGCCTTCGCGCTGATCCTGCGGGCGCAATAGCCACTCCCTCGTTGCGTACACGAAGACCCCACCGAGGCTCTCTTCGATAACGTTTTGAAATTCACATAATTCTGACCTGCATCTTCTGCGTCCGCAATCCAGAATTCCGTTGCTCCAAAATCTACGTCCTTCAGCCAAAGCACCAAGTCCCCCTTTCCAAGCCATTTGGCTTCCGTATCTCGTGGATCTTCGGAGAAGAGGTTTGAGGTCCCGGTGAGGAGATCTATGATCCTGATCTCAGTAATATTTGCATGGCTCCCGGGTGTCTGTGTATCGACGGTGTAGATTGCTTCGGTGCCTTGCTTGTTCGGGATGGCGGCCGAGCGACGAGAAAAAGATGGTATGAAGCTTAGAACCATTAGAAGCTTTGTACTATGGGCATTGTGGGATCAAAGGCTCACCTGGTTGTAGAAGCTGCATGCCCGCTAAGATTATTACTTGTTCACTCAAGCCTTCCGACAGCAGGACAATGATCGAGCAGCTTTGATGGTACCAGGTATATAGTTCCTGATTGTTCTAGCGGAGCAGCCGCTGATGCTGGTGATGCCGTTAGTCACATTGCGCTGGTCAGTTCACACCATGCAATGTGAAAAATGACGCTGGTAGCCTACTGCACGTGGGGAAGTCGGGAAAAGTTGCCACGGGAAAAGCGCCGCTCCATAACCAAACGAACCAACATCTTTTCCACGTCTATAACATTATTTACAGCTTGCTCAATGGAAGATCAATCTCGAAATCACGGTAAACAACAACAACAACAACAACCACCTTTGTGATTCTCGACGTCCCCCCTCAACAGTGCGTACCAAGATGGCGCGCGAAGGGGAGCCCTTACACCGGTCTCTGATCAGAGACACTACAGCATACTTATCCTATATCTTACTAGTTGTTGCTCTTGGGCCCCTTCAGTTCGGCTTCCATCTGGTATCAATCCTTCCCTGGCCAATGCTCTGCAACAGCTAACACTACCTAGGCCGAGCTCAATGCTCCTCAGAATGTCATCACCTGCGAAAAGAAGAGCATCAACAGCGCCGCCCTACATCCCGAGCTCCCTCAATGTATCCCTATGAACACTGATCAATTCGCCGTCGTCTCTTCGATCTATACCCTCGGCGGACTTCTCGGAGCTCTCGCCGCGGGCCCATTGTGCAACAAATTTGGACGACTGCTCACCATGCGCCTTACAACGATCTTCTTCGTCATAGGCCCTGTATTCGAGAGTGCTGCTCCTAGCATTAGTCTCCTAGCCTTTGGAAGAGTACTCTCCGGAGTTGCATCAGGCTCAGCAGTCGTCGTCGTGCCAATCTACATCTCGGAGGTTGCACCGCCAAAAGAGAAGGGGTTGTTTGGAGCTTTGACGCAGATAATGGTTAATATGGGCATCGTGATTGCGCAAGTCTTGGGGTACTTCTTAAGCAAGGACGGTCTATGGAGAATCATTCTGGCCGTCGCCGGGGGCATCGGGCTCTTCCAATTGCTTGCGTTGTCACTGGTCCCGGAAAGTCCAAAGTGGCTGGCTGAGAACAGGAATCCGCAGCATGCGCGGCATATCTTGCGAAAAATGAGAGGGCAAAAAGCGGACCTGGATGAGGAAGTCAAGGCATGGAATATTGACAGCAGTCGAGAAGATATCGGTGCATCTCTCATGACATAGTCTATAAAAATCACTAGCTAACGATTCTCAGCGGAAGAGGAATCGCTGCTCAGCGCGCCGGCTGGCTCACATCCTTCTCAAAATCCTGACGCTGCCTCAGAGACAGTTGGCATCTTCAGTGCTTTCATGCACCCGAGCTACCGGCCGGCCATCATCGCAGTCGTTGCCGTAATGGTCACGCAGCAGCTGACAGGTATCAACAGTATCGTCATGTACTCCGTCAGCCTACTATCCGCCCTTTTACCCACGAAGGCCGCCCTGCTCACAGTTGCCATCTCCGCATTGAATCTCGTCATCACCACTCTCTGCGCGCCTCTTTCTGACAAGATTGGGCGCAAGACCTGTATTCTTCTGAGTATAGCTGGTATGGGTACCAGCTCTATCTTGCTAGCGATTGGTATTGGCGAAGGCGTCAAGATACTCGCCGCCATCGCCACGCTCCTTTTTGTAGCCTCCTTCGCCGTAGGCTTGGGGCCAGTCCCTTTCATACTCGCCAACGAGCTTGTGGGCCCGGAAGCAGTGGGCGCAACCCAGAGTTGGGCTCTGGCAGCAAATTGGCTAGCTACATTCATTGTCTCGCAATTCTTTCCAATCCTGAACAAAGCTATGGGCGAGAAAGGACGGATCTACTATGTATTTGCAGGGCTGGCCTTGGTGCTGGGTGCTTTCATTGCCTGGTGGGTACCAGAAACCAAGGGAAAGAGCGGAGCAGATGAAGTTTGGGGAAAAAAAGAAGCTCGGCAACGGGTCGAATGAAAGTAAAGTATTCTTTGAAAATGGAACCGGGATAAGGCGTCAACACTGGGATCGGACAGTGATTGTTTTTGTACAAACAAGGCTTTGGGCTGCCGAATTTTGGATATGTCAAGTAAGGAGGCAATGTAGGTGGCAGTACCTGGCGGTTACAACCCACGAAATCGTGAATTTCCAGGCTTGTGGACTACATAAAACTGCTGACCATTTTTCACGTATCAGGCAAGTTGTCAGAATAAGCGGCAAGCCTGTCATTTAACTTGTGAAATATCTGAACCGTCATTAATGTTTGGGGATTGAGCCTCTCGGACTCTATAAGCTCGAGCAGAACTAGTATTCATTCGTCTAAAACTCTTGGGCTTAGGTACGTATCTATGGCAATATTGTCCTTGTTGCACGCGCTTTTATGCCAAAGGCCTTTTCGCTGATTTCTGTCATCCGAGCAATCCTGTGTTAGCATAAAGCTTTTTGAGCTGTATGGTTAATCATTGATGTACACACTGCAGGGCCTTGCTGCCCTCCTACTGCTGCCCTCTTCCCCGCTCGGTGTTGTGCGGTGACGTCTGTCTACATACAATGCTGGCAACCGTTTGCGCGAAATATGTGTTTTTCGACACAAGATTGTCCGTCCCAATCTGCCATCTCGGGGGATATAGCTACGCTTGGTCTCAACTGAAAGCCTAGCTACTAAGATAAAGGCTCAAGAATGTTTTAGAAGAAGTCTTAAGCAGTTTCACTGCTTTCGTAACCTCACATTCGCTCTTCACTTGCGTCGGCCTCCTCCTCTGCTACCTCCTAGGTAACAATTGCGGGAAATCCATGTCGCACATACAAGGCCCCGCAATCGCCTCCCGCACGGGGTCCTGGCGACTGAGGGACGTTCGCCGAGAGTCTGGACATCTTACTCACATCGAATTGCACCAGCAGTATGGGCCTCTGGTGCGGACAGGGCCCAACCACATTCCGTTCGTGACCCAAAGGCTATACGAATCACATGTGGCTCGAAAAGTGGATTTATCGAAGTGCGAAATGCAGGCCGCTGTGGTCAGGAATAGGCTGATCTTTGAATCTAGACGGCATTCAATTCCGTCAGTTCCGTAACATGACTGAAAAGACCGTAGATGGATCTGTTCTCTACTAGAAATGAAGCTTATCATCGAGACCAGATGTGACTGGTTGCCAGCGCTTATAGTATGAGTTCGTTGCTGGAAATGGAGGATGCAGTGGACTCTTGCTCAGGTCTACTCACAAAGCGACTTGACGAATTCGCAACAGCTGGCAATGTTTTTGATCTCGGAGTAAGTACACTCGTCCCAGTCTTCGACAGAATTCCATTGTACGCTGAGACTGCTACCAGTCCTAGCTCCAATATCATGCCTTCGACGTTGTCGGCGAGCTCACTTTCGACGAGAAGGTCGGCTTCCTCGAACAAGGCATTGACGTGGACGGTATAATGGAAACAATGGCAGGAATTTTTGGATACTCCATCCAATGCGGTCAATTACCCTACATGCATAGATTCTTGCTTGGCAACCCTCTCATTCTCTTCCTGATTCTTTCCATGGAATCTTGGGATCAAGTCTTAAACTTCACACTAAAAGCCATCAACTCTCGGGGTACACCAAATCGCAACGGCGAATTGACCACCACCGAAAGAGGCAAAGTAGGGAAGGATCAGCCGTCGAAGTGGATCGCAGCTAAAGAATCCAACCCAACCAGATTCAGTACTCGCGATATCGTTGTGCACACCTCCGCAAATGTCTCCGCAGGCAGCGACACAACTGCCATCGCTTTGCACGCCATCTCCTACAACCTCGTGCGCAACACGTCCACAATGGACAAGCTAGTCGCCGAAATCGACCAAGCGCAAGGGGAAGGCAAACTAGGAGATCCGACCAGCTATAAGGAAATCACGGCCCATTTGTCCCTACCTACAAGCCGTGATCAAAGAAGCAACGCGCATCCACCCCAGCGTCGGACTCCTGCTCGAGCGCCACATCCCACCAGCCGGCGTCAAGATCTGCAATCGGCATATCCCAGCTGGCAGGATCGTCGGCGTCAATGCGTGGTTCGTGCACCGTGACCCAGTTGTGTTCCCGGAGCCGGAAAAGGTTCCTTCCAGAGAGACGGATCGAGAGCGGGGCGGAGAGGTCGAAGGAGATGGAAGCTAGCTTCTTCGCTGTTGGGACGGGAAGTAAGGACGTGTACTAGGAAAAACTCCAGTTCGGTGGAAATATGTACGATTGTGCCGCTATTGTTGAGGACTCACAGCGTATCTTCGGTAGATCCGGAGAAGGATTGGGTGGTGCGTAACAAATGGTAAGTCATCTAGCCGAGTTGGCGCCCTGTTGCGTTTCACCATCAGCTCTGAATTTTTTCGTCGTTTTACCGATTATGATCGCCGCGAACGTGATACATGGAGGCAGTCTGCGTGGCTTGAACCACACTGCCTGTGTCCAACGGGCTTCATTTGCTAAACCAGTCTTTCTTCGTTGGAACTCAAGAGGCGAAAGGCACTTCCTTATATCACGGTGAAGAAGAGGGAATATCTCTATTAGAGTTGTGTTTTTTTGTTCTGAGCGAGCAATATTACTCTGTGCACTCCCCCTCTGCTTGTCTTTGTTCCTGGATATATACCCGTACTAACGTGTTGCAAAATCGAAGTCTTGTGAATGCCAGTTTCAAGAATGTTATCAGGAAAGTACCTCGTTCTCCAGAGGCTGATACTGCAGCGTGGTCCTGTCCTGATGTGCAGTGTGGTATAATCATTCACTGAAGGAAGAGTGCTTCCCAATAATGCCGTCAACAGAGAGGTTGTTAGCAGCTGATCAACCAATTCGCTTCTACGATCTCAGAAATCTCGCCGTCGAGCCCATCACCCAATTTCCGTTATTTGTATCCTTCCGCCATCTGCGAGTCTGGAATTCACCTTTCTCGATCAAGTCCTCAAACGCCTTCCATCCATCAGGATTAACCATGCTCGCAATTTTCTCTCTGACCTGCGCCTGAGCGTCATGTACCAACCACACCGTTGTGGCGTCATCACGCCGTAACCTTGTCAGAGCATCCTCTGATCCTCATCGCTTGAACTCCAGCACCTCTCCCCTGTCTCCAGTCTTCACGAGTCTCGTCCCTATCGCATGTGCTCGCACACATCTCAGCGTCTGCTCCCAGATGTCCTCGAGTCGCGGTTCCACGCACGAGACCCATGCGCTCCCTTGTTCTCGGCTCGCTGTTCCAGGTTTGACCAGCAGTCTAGATCCCATGAGCAGTTTCATGTGCCTTTCAATGCTTTCGAAGTCTGTAAGAGTTAGATCTGGCAGCCCAAATGTCAGCGTCCCGATCTGCATCCTTGATCTATTTCCCACATGGATTTCTGAGAAACACCTGCAGATATTTTCGACCGCAACCTCACGGTAGGTAAAACGTCTTCTTCGAGCCTCCGCGCAGGCCTGTTTGCAAGCGGCAAGGAGCGGGAAACCAGGAGGTTGGGAAGTTGAGGACGAATTCATCATCCTCGCCTCTGGAGAGATGTTTGTACACGCGAACCTACACACCTCGAAGCAGTCCGCGCTCTTCAGGGTTTCCGTCGGGCTCCGGGGCGTCAAGTTGTATCTCGTCCGGGACCAGGACAAACCGCATGATTATATCGCGGATCTCCGCTGGCGAACGAGAAGAAGCATATTGGGTGCTGACGCTCACGGCTGGAAAGTGTAAAGGTCTGCGATGTGCGGTGGACGTGTTCAAAGTGTCTGTGTGGGGTTCTGCTGGCTTGACCTATTTCGACGGTGATTGAACGTGGAGACCGAGGAGCTTGAAGATGTGGGGTACAAGAAATGTGATAACCTGATGATGTGGGAGGTATAAGGTATTTACGGAAAGTGTGCTCTATTGTGCGTGTCTTGGACAAGACCGATCGATAGTGTCAATGAGCCTCTTCGGCCATGGGTACAGGGCACTAGCTGCCCAGCCTCAGGTATCAGCCGATCTGCCGACCGGCCATGGTGCACAATAGCGCCGGGATCATTTCTAGAAGAGCAAAGCTGATTTAGACATCTTTGAGGAGAAGCACAACCATCTTTCTGGACGGTGTTCGCGGTGACGATACATAGTTGCTCTTTCGAGGCCCCGTCGACACTATTCACGTGAAACCCTACGTCTACTGCAAGTGCGACCGCCTCTTCGCCATACACGCTTCGTTATCGCCACAATTATTTGTCTCTCAACAACAGTCATTGACCTGACCACCAGTATCTTCTGGAACTTCACTCCGCATTTTCGTGTTTCCCTTACGTATCACCGTTACATTTCTTGAGACGAGATACTAGCCTTCAAGAACTCGATCGAAGCAACTCCTGCAAAGAAGATAACAAACCGTAAATGATCGAGTCAGGAAATTGTGAGATCAACACTATTAGAAACTAGCAGTTCTAGTGACCGATTCGGGCGGAGGGAGTCTGCTGGATGCAGGTGGATTGTGTAAGTACGTAACGAGTCTTTAGGCGTGCTATCCGAACAGTTCGGTTTCTAACAGCTAAGACACAGACAAGTTAATAGTCGAAGGAAGTTGCATTCATATCCTTCACGCCGTCCGCTTTTTATGTCTTTCATTGTCACAATTTTATCTTGACCCGAGCAAACTTATGCCATAACGGTGAAAGCAATCTAGCATTGTCCTACCTTAGACAACATAGCACCAGTAGATCTGATTTGTGGCAAATGTTGTCCATACGCTTGTTTCAAGATTGATGTGCTGCCCTATTGATGAAACTTGGCATGGTGGCAACGGGCCGGCTATTGAACACATCAACAAATGATTGGTCGAATGCACCACATTTAGACGTTAGCACCACACTTTCCTTATCACACCGCCCCTAGAATTTCGGTCTTCAGTACAAGGCATTTCAAATCCCTGTGTCTTCTTCTTCCTTTTACCTTTCAATATTCGAAAATCCGAAGACACTCTCTCACCTCCGAAACAACATACCCTTCTATCGCTATGTTGTATTCAAACCTTCTCAAAGGTCCCTTCAGCATAGCCCAAGATCCCACCGTCACCCACGTCGCGAGTATTCTCGCTACGATCGCCGTCGCAGACTACAAGAAACAACCGCCCGTGGGCTACTTCTCCTTGCCGGCGGAAATCAGAGACATGATCATGGAGCTTGTCTTTGTCCAAGGGTCAATGATTCTCGACTCCAAAAGTGCGGTCAAGCGCGAGCGCAAGGCTTCTCTGCTGCAGGGGGCGGTCCACCGCGTGATGAAGACCGTCGACAGACACGGCGGCCATGAGGACTCGAAGCCGCCACGTGTCCTTCAGCCTCCCGGCTTCCAATTCCTGGCCACGTGCAGGCAGGCTTGTGCGGAAGGCCACGCGGTTTTCTACTCTTCGAACGTCTTCGACCTGCTGCCGGGTCCGCTCTCGAATACGCTCCGCGGCTTGAAGGCCCTCCAGCCTCAGCATCTTGCGATCATCAAGAGGGTTGGATTGACAATAGGCTGGCTGGACCTGACGCCCGCAGTCCTCGAACACGTTCACCGGGAAATGCGAAGGCGCTATGGGGCTACGGTCACGGATGCGCCGAGTCTCGCGTATTCAATCGAATGGAGTACTCGGGTAGAATGGCGACTGAAGTGCCTGTGGAGGGCGAAACTGGACTTCATTCTAACTCAGTGGGAAGGATTGACGGTGCTCAAGATTACGAATGCGGAAAAGTCGCTCGAGTTCGACGCCGATGATGTGGCAAAGACCGTGGAGTTCCTTGGAGGGACGAACGGAGATATCTTCCGGTCGCTGGAGATCCGGGAGTTGGTCTGGCGGGCGAAGAGGCTCGTTCAGGAGGAGGTTCAGGACATGATCGAGACGGATGGCTGGAAGGCTCTCGAGGCGGAGGTCGAGAAGATCGCTTCCGGGATGAGCGATTGATGGAGCTGATGTACGACAAGTCGGACATTGTGACGGGCCATGAAATGTTTTATACGCTTGTTGAACAAGGTCCACACTCGACAGTCGGGCTGGAAGACGAGGAGGCTGATAGTATACTTCGAGCCGCACAATCAAGGGCATGAGGGGTACACTGGACCGTTGGGACGATACGTGTAGTGCTTTGCGACTTTCATAGAGAAAGAACGCTGCTGCAAATCTAGTCTTCATCTTCTGCGGAACTGTACAGCTACCATTGGACGAGCATGAGATTGGCAAATGAAAGTCTCGGTTTTTCAAACACACTCACTTCAGTGCTCCATTAGAATTAGACTGGCAGGCTTTGAGGGACTTCTCGATGACGCATCGAGCGGGACATTGGGTTCTTGCAGCCCTTGAGAACAGGCACACTTATCAGCAAGCAACTTCGGGGTTCGTTCGGGTCTTTCCTCTTGATACCGTCACTCAAGTCTCCCATTTACACTATCCGTGAGGATTGGACATACATCTTCGCGACACTCCCAGAAGCTCCTCTATTTTATCCATTCCTACCCAGAATCTCATCAGCATTCCGCTAACTGCATCGAGAACGTTTTCGAACTACACAACGAGTAAATTTTTACATCGTGATTTCTAGCAACACTTAGCAACATCGACCAGAATTCCGTGAAAACCTCTCCCAGAACAGCACTTCTCCGCGACAACATACGCGGATTCAGGATGAGGCCGGCTGGCGAATTTATGAAGATTAGGCAGAATCATCCCAATCCAAGCACTGTAATGTACAAAGCCGCCAGTCAGACACTCAGATCGACACTGAGAGTTCTCACTCATCGACGCTGAGAGCTCAGTGGGTTACTCCTCGCTGCCAGGAGAGATCCGAAACGAAATCATGCGTCTCGTATTTCTACCCGGCGATGTCCACATCCGAGGAAGCAAGGAACACAGCGTGATAGCAAGACTCAAACGATCCTGGGAGGCGAGAGTCCACCTAGAGATCCCGCCCGTGCCTTCGCTGCCAGGGTTCCAGCCACCGGCAACATGTAAGCAAGCGTATGCCGAGGGCCGTCATATGTTTCATCATTCCAATACATTCTTCCTGCCTCCCGGCGAGTTGGATGAGACGCTCAAGCAACTCTTCACAAACCTCCAGGCCCAAA